TCTCATTCTCAAATTGATTTCAGGGTTAATCCGAAAACACAACGCAAATGTACAGGGCTTATTGATATTAGTATGTTACTGTTGTTAGAAAATTTTAAGTGTTATGTCAACAGAGTAGGAAACCATAACAATTGTGGTACCATGTGATTTTTAACATAACATATTGGTACCGTGACTTTTTAACATAACAGTTGCCAACAGAGACAGTTTTAAACTCACAGGTTCAATGAAATTTTAGGCGTTGAGAAGTTTATCTATTTATTTTTAATTAATAGTTCCTTTCAAGTTTGACTACTTTCCTATTACTCTCTTTTCACCCATGCTTTTCATGGCAGAATGTAAATGAGATAGCGAGCTTTTATTCAGATTAAAATAGAAAGAAGTGCTCTTGCTTAAGCAAGAGTTTCGGAAGTTAGGTTTTAGAGCATGTCTGCTTATTCGAAGCTACGTTGTGCTGTGATTATTAGCAACCTGAGTTAGCGGCATTGAGTGTTTCTAGCCATTTAGCTTTGTTTCGCCGGTTTGCTGCAAATCAGAGTCTTTTCTGCGCGTTGAGGTACTCTATGAGTCATTAGGCTAATCTACCACATCTTGAAATTGCTATTTATTATGTATTTCTGTTAAGCGAGAAGCGTTTGGCTTATTCAAACCCAAGTTAAGTAAGTCACTTGTTGTGTTCGAATAAAAGGGTCTTACGTATACACCCTTCTTCTAATTTCTATTTTGTTTCACAAGGATAGAAGATAATTCTTCAATAGTCCTTTTTTAAATTTATATTTTATGTTCCCAAAAAGACATACACTTTATAAGGTCACTAATGATCAAGAGTCGATTAGGAGTCGATAACCAATATTCACCGACAACTGATTGGCGTAACCAAGATCTCACTGATTATAAAAAAAAACTCAAAGGTATCCTAAACTTTATAATTTAAAAGTCATCCGAGAAGAAACACACAAAAGTAAAAGCAATTACCGATCCAACATGATTGACTTTCCCTTCTTCTTACCAGGAGGAAAAAGACTTTAGTTAAGTCAATAATTTATTGTGGAGAACAAGAATCAGGTAGAATAGTTTTGAACCTGATTAGCACAGGGTTTTGCTAGAAAAAAGAAAAGAACCCCAAATTTCCATAAACTCCCACGAAAAAAGCTATTTTCTTTTTTTTAACGCCAAAATGCCCTTGGCACTTTATACCTGGATTTATGCAGTTTTAACGTATTTCTTTAATTTCTTATAGCATATTTCAAGATGCACGTGTAAAGTTGTCATAATAATATTCTAGGTCGTATACACATGGCCTTGCCACTCAGAGGCCTAAGAATTAAGTTAAGCATTTGTAGGCCAAATAGTAAAGCATTACATCGATACATCAAGCGCGAGCCTCACATAAATGAAATCGAATTTGGGTGCAATTATAATCAGCGATTTCTTTTCAAAAATTTATTTATGTTTATAAAATAATAATAATAATAATAACCATAATAAAACTTAACTTTTTTTCTCAATTTTGCTCATATTCTTATTGCTATATGTGCAGTTATTTGTATTATGATTGCGTTGCATGCTGTAATGTTATAGAGTAAAACGCCCTAGGTCACTCTAAAATTAAACCATTTTTTGAAGGGGTCGATGTTCGAAATGAGTTGTGAATCGCTGGCATACCAGGGATTCCTGACAGTGCCTCACGAACCCGACGAGCTTCTGCGGCTTCTATCCTACACACTAACAGATTTGTTTGTTATTGGTTTGGTTTTTAAACTTAAAAATTTATGAAAAATGAATTTAAATAGTGGCCACATTTTTCATGTAATTTTGATCTAATTGCTTTGACTGGGATTCAAATTGTGTGGCCGTTCCCAACTTGCTAAGAACAAAATAAGATTTGGAACAAAATATGAATTCAAGACTTCGATTTTAAGAAGTTTCTGATAACTTTTAAGCTTGTATTTTTTTATAAGTATGCTTGAAGGCAGCAGTTGTAACTGCTTAGCTCTCGTATGTAATTTTGATTATGTAATATAACATTTGTACATATGTCGCACACAAATGAACACTAACAGATATATAATCACTCACCAATCCCAGATAATCTCTTGCAGGCATGTAATTACATTCAACGAAGATGCAGAAAAATTAGTACAATCAGTTAGAGTAAAATTAGTTAAAAGCGGATTAATATTCAGTAGAGAATAAAAGGGGTAAAATTAAGAATAAAAAAAAGGATTTACGTTTCACACCATTTTAATGCCATTTTTATTTCTATAACTGCAAAACGTAGTTGCCATGTTTAGCTTTATTAAATTCGATGCGATTCTAATTAAATGCGCGTATGATAAATTTGATTTAATTGTATCTCACTCCTCAGGTTCATGGAGAAAAATTACTTACATAATAGAGAATTGTTTTGTTTCAAGCTAAATCTTAGTTTGAAATTATTAATTAAAAAACTAAATTTACACAATCGAGTCATCTTAATATGACCACCAATCAAATCCAGATTAACCATCATGTGCAGTATGAACAGCGACCGTAGGATTTACAAGTTTTATGATAACAAAACGAACTGGAGAGTGTTCACACGGGTATGGAATGATGTTGATTGTAGAGCATTTGACATTTGCTAGAGAGGTGAAGGGCGAATGACCCATAGATCAAGCAACACGACTGAGGTAGTCGTAATCTGATTGGGTTTATGTCTGAAGATTTTTGGGTTTAGGAAAGCACAGTAATGACTTCCTAATGATCTTCCAGCCAATTAGGTACTCTGCACCAAAAAAGGGGCAATTCTATATGTATTGGTTTACTGACCGATTGAAGAACTTTAACTTGCATTTTTTATATCACGAAAGCGCAACTTAGGATATATATTAGATTTATATATAGCTTTGTTCTAACATAGGTTTTTCTATAACCACTACACAACGCGAACAGTATGCAAACTGCGTAGTTTCTGAAATGCTGCCACCTTGATTCGAAAGCCAATATTCATTCGTTTTTTAAGTTATCTGAGCGCGTTTTTATTTAGTTATTACAGCAAAAATTGGAATATTTCTTGAGTGTCTACAACACATTTAATATATCTACGACAGCTACTGCTGATATATGCATTATGTCACTGATTATTCAACGCTGACGTCAAATGTAGAATGTGGTCGCATTAATATAATTCCGTTCTATATTTTAAGGACAATGTTCAATATTTTAAGGAGAATTTTAGTGATTTAGTAATTTGATTTGGTAAATCATTAATGGAAATAAAGTTGTAACTTTGCTACTAAATGTATCAGATAACGAAAGCAGGCAAGTCAAAAGATATCTTGCTTAACCCTTTGCGGCACAGTGTTTCCGATCTGGACACACCTAAAAATTTCCTTCTGTACGCACAGAAAAATTGAATGAAAAAGGATTTATAGGTTACTATAGGTTACTCTGAACCTTCTTTATTTATAGTAGATGGTAGCTCAACACAAACCAGTCCATATATTTTAGCCATGTTTAGTTTTTAAGATTCTCATTTTTGAAAGAAATCTTCCAGACTTTCTTTAGGGTATAAAAGGAATTGTTTGAAAAGCAATTTCTGTGTTATTTTTTTGTCTGTGTTCTAATCTTCTTATTCTATATTAGTTTAAAATTTATACCTTGAAATCTTGCCTAAAATCAAACGGCGAACCCTAGGTGTGCCCAGACCGGGCTCACCGATAATGTAGGACAACTGAGAGTCTGTATTCTTTGTTTATCCGCATCTCATCGGTCAGTTCATTGATCACAATGCTCGTTTCAGCACTCATTTCGTAGCTCTATTCAATCAATGCGCCCTCTTCGGGCACACCAGAAATAAGCGATAAGTGCTATCTTCACAAAATTTTACTTGTCTACTCCTCTAAGCCTAATAGACTGCCTACCATTTTTTTTTTTTTTTTTTTTTTTTTTTTTTAATCAAAACTCCGACTTTAAAGGGAAGCGTGCCGGAAAAGGTTAAGAACTCGACATTGCGAAACGCACGAAAATATCGTCACTCATCATTAACACTTTAAATACAAAATTAAATTTATTTTAAACTACTTTAGGTGACGCTTAAATACAGAAATTGAGTCTGTGACTAAAAGATGAGCAGAAGAGAGACTGTTAAACATATTTCTTAATTTAAGATAAAATAGCAATTTTATTTTTGCTTTAAATTTTTAATAAACTCTTTTAGTTCTGGGAGCGATCAAAGACAGGTAAAAAAGAACTTTAAACTTGCTTTTCTTCGTAGCTTTAAATTATACGTTCAGGTCTTCTCTTCAGTTTTTAAGGTATTGTGTTATTCAATGTTATGATCAGGCTTGTAATGTTTACCTCTAATTACTTCATTGCATAGCTTTAATGAACACTCCTTCTATTTTATTTACTTATTTACATTAATTTTAATTATTTTTAATTTAAATTCAAATTTTTATTTATTCTTATTACAACATAGCCTTATTTAAGATCAATGTTAATCATTTAGATAACTTAATGTTATTTAAAGAGCTTTTTTGCTTTTTATCTACGTTTTAAATTAAATAATATAATATTTAACCAGCTGGCAAAGTCAGCTGCGTACAAATAATGCATATATATTTAAACCTCCATGTGCATAAAATCTCTATACCATGTGCAGTGTAATTACGAAATACTTCCGTCAGTGAGATGAAAGTTCTCTTTGTGATATACTATATCGCTGTTAAAATTAGGCTAAATTTAATATGAGATTGGATTAATTTGCGAAATTCTTTGCTAAATTAAGACCTGTGTCATATTCTACAAAAGTGCATATAATATCATTCTCTAATTTTAACAATCATGTAAAATTGAATATAGCCTCAATGCTCAGCTTTTTTTTTATGTCTGTAAAATATTATTATTTATTTTCATGAATATGAAATTTATAGTTTTCTTAAATGTATTGCTTATACTGTGATAATCTTTTAAAACATTATGACGTCAACTCTCATTAAAATGACTCTTATCCGAAGTTCATTTTTATTTTACAGGCTTGGCACAAGAGATACTTAGTGCTCCGAGACGAAACTCAAGACCGTAGCCCTTCTCTGGAAATGTATGAGAAAGACGAACTTCTCACGGCTCCTTTGGGGCTCACCGGTCCAAAGCTCATCCTAGATCTCGGTCAGTGCGTCCATATAGGCTTCACTTCAGATTCAACACGTTTCCCTTACGCATTAGTGATCGTGTGCCAAGGAAGATCTCCCCTACTTCTTGCTGCTGAAGATGAGCTAAGTGCCAGATCATGGCTTTTGGCTTTAGGCCTCATCACACACAAAGGAAGCTCCGGTAAATATATTGTTACGAATTTTGCACATGAATAGATAATTTTAGGATAGATAATATACTCATATATAAGAAATAGTTATATTTTTATGTAATGTAACATGAAAAATTGAGAGAAACGATGCATTGCTGAAAAAATAAAAACACAGGGGCAAGTTTGTTTAACATTGAGTAAATGGTTATTTCGCTAATTTGACGAAAAATTTTTAAACTATCAAATGGTCGTCAAACTTCAAGACCATCTGGTGACATTTTGACCCGGCCCCTGTATAACTGTAATGGATATTGTAACTGAATATATATAATTGATGTTCTTTGTAACTGTAATGCTTTTCGGCACTCATATCCCTTCCAATAATTTCGAGTACTAGAAATATCTCGGCAGCAAAGTGAAAACTATAGAATACCAGAGATAATGTAGGTTTGTCAGTTGCTGTTAATTGGTAGTTCAGCTTGATTTCATAGTAATGAAATATATCCGGGTTAGCTTCGCTCCTTAGATCCGCTTTGCATTGCATTGTGTTTAACGTTCTTAGTAGTTTGAAAAGTAACTACTTATTATACTCTATGATACTGTAGACATACTCCGTGATACTGTGTATGACTATTTTTGTGGAAAGTTCCAGAACTGTGAAGTGTTTCGTTTGCTAAAATAAATTTTATCAGGCTATCATCAATTCTCTGTGTATTTAATCTATTACGAATCTGCACGCACGCAACAATATTATCGTCTACTATTAAAACACGTTAATAATAAATAAGAAGAAAAGTATTTTATATGTAAGCTGTTTTGACAAAATGTTTTATTGCAAGACTAAAAAATGAACGCATGGTTTGAAAGTGGTAATTGTCAAAATTTCTACTAAATTTTAAAGTATGTATTTCAGAAACAAATCGGGATTAAAATTTAAATTTTCTGCGTCTTTTAGAATAGATTAAAACCTACAAAACAGTCCAAAAACAGAAATTAAACTTATATGTGACCTATTTTCCTTATCCAGAAAGCTTCAATGAGAAACATTAAGAAAACGTAACAATTTTAATTCATGAATTAATGATATAGTTCTCCGCTTTAGTCTACAATGTACATAGGCGTGGAGAGGTAATGAATAAAATGTTAGAGTTTGGTCAATAATTAAAAATATCTTTCTTATTATCCAATAATAACTAAAACCAGTTTATTCTTGACGTTTATTTAGAAAATCTGTTGAAGATTGTTAAAACTCAAATATATACTAAATACTGATAGGTAAATCATAGCCTATGCTCGTTTTGAAAACAATCCTGGATTCATAAACGATCTTTATTATCAGGCTGTTAACAGTCAAATAATACTTTTTCTTCAAGCCCTATCTATAATAACTCAGTGAGATCCAGAGCTTAAGTCGTAATCAGTTTTAAATAATTCATAGAAGATTTTTATTTTTATGACTTCTTACGCGAGTATAGGATAAATTATTCATGTGAGTTATTGTTAGTGAAGATTATTATTAGTAACAGATAAGCGCATCTGCAGCTTATCTGTTAACAAACTCTGTTAAAACGGGCGTAGGTATAGCAACATGTTTGAAAATTAGTCCTGAACGAGATTATTTATTCTTTAGGAAAAGGCAACGAGGAAATTAGTAAATGAAATAAAAAGAATGGATATGGAAAACAAGACGCTTTTATATAAGTGTTAATCATGTTAAGCAATTTATACGTGCGAGCATAATTACAATCCAGCGTTAATATAGTGGACAACATGTTTCTCGAGAGAATTTATCTCTATATTTAATAATGCAAAGGAAGCATATATAAATTCTAATTTATGATAATATAAATTGACGTAATGTTAACAGGAATTTAGTAATAAGCGAGATTATTTTAAACTTCAATCTCTGCAGCTGTTTGATTCTAAGTAGTTTAAATATAATGAACTATATTTAAACAGCTTGGAAGTTTACAATTCAGAGTGGGGATTGGTAATCTTAACACAAAAATGTCTTTGTAGGACATTTATTGGGAACTAAAAAATTTATTCTGTAATTTCTCGTCATTAATTGCAATCGTAATTCACTGTAACAATAATTCACATGATAAAAATTAACCAAATGTATAAAAGCTATTCTGTTTTGCCTCGTACACTGTTTTTTAGGATTACATGTTTTCTTCCGAAACAAAATTCCAAACCCTGTCAGTCAGGATTAGCAAGCCCATACCAGTCCACTGGAAAAGGTTAGGGTGGTATTATTTAATTAAGGAAAAGCAGACTAAAACAATCTGCCTTCAAGCAGAAACAATTTTGTGGAAATCTTTTCTGGGTAAATTCCCCGTATTCACTAGGAAAACCGCAAAAACGAACATGCGTCCAGGCTGTTTATTATGATTTGAATCACGGCCGAGCTGCGTGTGATCGGCGGTCATTAAAATAACGAAGTATATATTCTCCAAATATGTTGTTATAAAATAATCTTGTATTATTGTTGCATACTAATGAAAGGTTTCCTCCCTTCTTAACAATGAAGCCATTGTAGCAGCAATTTGAAATAATTTGATATGATAAAATTTAAAACATAGGTGATGAAAAAGGTTGTTTTAAGAATATACGTTGCAAATTAAAATAAATATCTCCTGAGCTTCCAATTTAATTCTCAATTTCTATTATGCTTGAATCAAAATTTGTTTTATTTTAAGAGTGGAAAAAACATTTTCATGGAAACATCTCCCTTTAAAAATAATGTAAAAGCTATTGTCTACATTAATATAATTATGAATAGGATTTTTTATTTCCAGCAGATTTTGGAAAAAGTTATACATGTTAAAAAACAGTCGAGTAAAAGTATAATAAATTCTCGCTATTTCTATTAAAATGCAAGCATTATTGAGAGCAAGTACGTTTTAACAACTTAAGAATAAATTTAAATGAGAAGATAAATGTTCAAAGAAGACTCAGTGGGAAACCTAAATTATTTTTATGAAGAGAACTTAAAAGTCGAATTTTTTTTATGTCCCGTGTTAAGTGCTAATTAAAAGCTAACGAAATTCTCGACAGCATTTCAAAAAGGAACGTGCAAATTATATTACACGTAATCAATCTTTTAAAGAGGCGTCGTATTAAGAGTTTCCCACATTCTTTTCTAAATCTTCTTAAAACAAAAAATTCTCATTTTTATATCAGTACCTTAGTATTTCGAAGACCAGTTCTATGTTTATGGCAAATAATAAATAATAATAAATAATGGATATTTATGGCAAAACATTTGTGTCACATACGAAACTCCATTCATTCTGATGATCAAACCCCATTTATATGATAAGGATGTACAAAAATTAGATTATTTCGAAGCAGGAGACATGACAAATGTGTCATAAAAGGGGCGGGACTCGAACCTCGGAAATATGCGCCGAAGGTGCTGACCAATACATCACAATGGCATGCTAAGAAGGCGGAAGAAATACCTTATAAGGACTCTGTGACAACAAATGCACCTGTACCTCCACCACAGAGGACCATATTTTTAAACAAGTGCAATAAAAGATGAAACTAAGTGACCGAATGGAGACATGCTTCCTATAATAATAAGTACCGCTTTTACTTTTGTTAAAATGCTGTTCAGTGAACGGCTTAGAAGCATCTAGGATATGCTTCATTATCCCTTATTCTTCACTATCTTTCTACATCGTTATTTCAAAAACAATAGAGTCCTTTGTAGTTTCCGAGGAAGTATTTTATCCCATTCCTCCTGAACAGCTTTCTAAAGTCCAAGGAGGGTTATAGGTCGATGTTTGGGCAATCCTTTTCTTAAAAGTCCAAAAGGGCAAAAATTCATGGATGATGCATCAGAATATTTAGTAGGGATATGAGTGAAGAATTAGTGGCTTGATACCCGTTTTTTGTTCAATTTTTATCAGGAAATTAACAGTGTATTTTCACGTGTGACTGCTTGATTTTGACGGACTTTTATTTTGATACAGTTCTACTGTTTGATGACACTGTGGCTAAAGATAAGGTATTTCATATTTGAAAATTACATATCAGATATATTTATGATATTATGTGAAATTGATCTTAACATCTTTCTCCACTCTCTTTATTTTTTGTTCCCCGTTGTATGAAAACCAACAACAATCCTAAATCCTTTTGGAAAACTTTCTTTAGCCTTTTTCAACCATGTTTTAATATACTTTTCTCCTATTTGATGAAAATAATGCATCTCGTTGCATTGCAGTCATTTAAATGTAACCAAGATTCATCCTATTATGACAACAGTTTTCCGTTTTTATCCGGATAAATGTTTCCCATAAAGAATTCTGCAGCGCGTCCTGCGTTCGGCGATATCTCCTAGAGAAAGATGATGCAGATTATGTTTTTTCACCTTCTTAAGATTAAAATCAGCATTAATCACTTTGTTTACGGTTGACAGTGAATATATTAAGGATTTTGCCACTGTCCTTTGACTAGGCGGAATTTCTTTTAGCATTAGAGATCTTACTTAAATTCGAAACATTTCGTTTTCTCCTTGGATATGCATTAGGAAGTATTTCCCATTTGAAACCAAACTTTGACATTTTTTTCCCTTTCTTGTAGATAATATTACCTATCGTATCTTTAGATATCGGAAAACGGTGGCTTTCACGGTATTTTGTAATAACTAAGTACGAATAAATTTCATTCGAAAGAGCCCAGACATAGCCTTCTACCCACCGGCTTGTTTAAAACCACCATTTTGCATGTAAACAAAACTGTCAAGCAGGAGGTGATAATTAATACTTTCAAAAATTTAGCTGCAGTTAAAAAACACATTTCTAAGAAGAGGATGTTTTTATAGTAAAGCAAAATCGTCTAAAAATGTGCGAACAGCCTCTGTGCAATAGAAATGAGATAATCAAACGTAACAAAGCATGACATAATGTTGTGAGGTATCATTTTATATAATCAAATGATATCTCTAATACTCATTTCAGTTATTTAACAGTTTAGAGCTTCATAGATTCGACTGTAATTGTTGTTGTTTCGCCATGTTTAAAGAAGCGCTTGGAACCACTTTTGAATACCTGAGCTTGAGCTTCACTGGCCTTCATGTTACAGCTGATGTGAAAGATATTTCTTATCATGGCTTTCCATTTCTCTAGACTTATTTCCGATATGATACATATGAGAACTTTCTGGACAAGAGGTTGCGAGCCCGACACTCTTGCAACTATTCTGAGTATTTTGCACAATTAAATCCATGTTCATTTCAGAAGCATACTATATTTTTCAGAAAATGAAAGAAAAGAAAGTAAGTAGGTTGCCATAAATTAAGAATTTCGCTAAGTGAGTTATTCATGGCGCAAACTGTAAAAAATTCGCAAGATAAATTTTGAAATTTCTCCGTAAATTTCGCACTAAATTTTACAACATTTAATATTTAGGCATAATTTGAGTCGTAGAATTGATAATATGGATATTGACATGTCATGTCAGAAAAAGGTCCAATTTTGTGTCAAAAGACCTACATTAGAACAATGCTATATATAAATCTTATACATAGCCTACGTGGCGCTTTCGAGACATGAAAAGCGTAATCGGCTCAATAGAACGGCAGATAGAGAACTGTCCTTTTTTACTAGATTAATGAATTGCTTATATAAGTTAAATATATAAGTTTAAAATTTTGTTAACTTAATTTTTACTCATTTTCAGGTTTTTAATGCTTACGTATTATTCTTGCTTTTTCAGTTGTAGAGTCATTAGGTTTAATTTGATGCTGGAGACGTTAATGAGCAATGCTCTCGCCGGGACTCTAACCTGGACCTCTCGAACACGCGCCGAGTGTGGTAACCTTAACAACACGAAGGCATTTAGAAAGGAAGGAGAAAATACCTTATATAGTAAAAATTTATTAGTCAAGTCAAAATTATAAAATACAGAGTTAAAAGTCTCCATTCTTTCATTGAGATAACGAATCATTATACGAACATGATTTTAAAAAATTTTAATTCTGAAAACACATGTCTGCAGTGTTATCATCATGCCATGATTTGAATGCTTTTTTTTAGAGCATGATATTTTTGACGATGATGTTTTAAAACTGCGAAGCTTTTGAATCAATTTATTTTCTACGATGATTGTATACTACGATGTTTCTCCTTGCTTTCTTTTCTCTTTTACGATGTTTTGTACTACGATGTTATTCGCTTGCCTTGTTCTCTACGCAATGTTTTTGCTTTTAACCGAAATCATTCACAAAAAATACATTGAGAAACGGGTGGACGGCTGACGGAAGTAAGCTGCTCGCTGATCCGGTCAAAATTCTGTCTCTAAATTGCACATACTTTCGTTATTTAAACTCCACCTTATATGAATTCTGCAGAGACCGATAGAACAGGACGTAAAGCAGCCTATCATCTAAAAAAATTGCAGTGCCTATTTTACTCATTTTAATTGAATTATCTTTGAAAATGAAATCAGATGGATGAACAAGTTAAATCCCCTCGCTGGCATTACAATATTTATACCAACAGAAAATAATAATCGGATTATTCCGATGGTTCAGTTATCTTAATAAGCCTATTCTTTTGCATAGCTGGAGCTTTGTTGCAAAGAAAATTCAGCTATAAATTATATCTAAATTATTATAAATTTCTAATGGAATCCATGTATAAGATCTGACTTGTATTATTAATTTCTTTAGCTCTTTTTGACGGTTTTTAAGCTTGTTGTTTTTACTCTTGCTGTTAGACAAAAAGATTCTTTTTAGGCATTTTATTTCAATTATTTGCAACAAACCGCTTCGTTACAAACTCTTTTTTTTTTAAAAAAAAATTAAAACTACTGTTTTAATCACAGTCTTGCGATAAACCGAGGCGTTGCAACTCCTTTTCAAAGTATTGACTGAGGTAATTTACTTACCATAAGTGGCGCAACACTTGCATTAATGATTTTATTGCCCTTAGTTATTCTTATAATACCATTTCAAACTGAGTAGTTAATATGTTTTTTAACATACATACATACATACAACACCGTTTTTGTATAAAAAAAAAATTACCTTTTCGTAACAGACACGGAAATCTTTCTTTTATTCCAATTTCTGTAAGATACTTAAATTTCTTAAGGCCATTTAGGTAAAAAACTGAAACATGAAACTTTCGATGCATGGCAATAAATTTATCATATTTAAAGCATTTCTTGCGATTTATTATTGCCTTTTCATATCGTAAAATCTAATACGCTGGTAACTAACGTTTTTTACATGAGTAATTTCTACATTAATGATCCTTTATATGTTACTTACGTAATGTTGCTTAAAAATTTGTATCAAATAATGTATCTTTGATGAATTAATTATAAAACAATCTAGGTTAGGTTCTAGATTATAATTCATCAAAGATACTTAGTAATAAAAAACCAGAATTAACCGTGCTGGGAAATCTGTTTTTCCCTTTATTTATATGGACGTAGATAAATAGATGACAGATTATATATATATATATATATATAAATAATACAAATAAAATTACGATCATAGGGTTAATAAATCTAAATCATTTAAGTGACTATCATATTGCTTGCCGTTCATTTTATATTTTCATTTGTTCTTCGATGGCTTCTTGAATTTTTTAGTATTTATGTGTCATTAATTCAGAACCGCGCTGTTGTACTTTCCTCATAGCTTATACGAGTCGGAGTGATGAAGACACAAACTGTTTTGTTTTTTACTGAAAATTTGTGTAATTATCGGTTTACAACACGTTGATCCATTTTAATTTATCCAGCCTGTCATATGAAGACACGAAATGTTTTGTAGTTTGCCGAATTTTTCAAATGCAGTCAATGTTTTTCAAAATCAATTCAGAAACAAGCTGATCCATTTATTCTCTGAGTACACCAACCCCTTTAGAAAACGTAACGAGTAATGTAAATTCTTCAATAAATTTTTTTATTTTGCATTTTCTCCACTTAATGATTATTGAATTCCAAAACTAAGAAGGCGGGAGAAATAAGCTTCTTAGCATGCCTTCGTGGTGTAATGACCAGCACGTTCGTCGCGTATTCAAGAGTTCCGAGGTTCGAGTCCCGGCGAGGGCATTTCATATTTTTCTAACATAACTGACCTGTAGTGCCTATTGAGAGGTGAAGCAGGCGGAATAATAATAATAATAATCTTTCATGCTTTCAAAAAATACCTAATGTCTCAACAGTGTTGCCCAAACTAAAAATTGGCGATTGGGTCCCTTAATTCCCAGTCGCCATTTAAAAGGGGAGTATATAAAGTATTTCTCCCGCCTTCTTCGCATGCCTTCGTGGTGTAATGGTCAGCAGACTCAACGCGTATGCGAGAGGTCCGAAGGTCGAGTCCCGGCGAGAGCATTGCACATTTTTCATGTCTCCCGTATCGAAATAACCTAATGTCTCTACAAACTGGTCAAGTTTTCTTATTTCTTTCACAATGATTTATCGTTTTCGCAGAATAAATCTATTTTATTACCAACTCTTCATTCTAAGTCTAATATGTGTTGAATTCAAATTATCGGTGTAATTTATCAAAAGAGACATACACACATATATATGTTAAGATAAAAAGTATGTAAATCAAAATTATAATTTAAACTAACGGCAAAACGTTTAAATTCCCTCTCTCTGTTCTAAAATTCGTAATAACTTCTCTCGATTGCGTCATTTCTAGACCTTTCCTTTTTGCATGGCTTGCGCAGCGCTGATGACGTAATAATTGGGAACTGAAACATTAAACTCAAACCAAAACCTTTCTCTCCGTGTGTTTCCATCTTCCATAACTACGCACCTTAGATTTTGCTTCTGTGCTGCTTAGATGCTGTTTCATTCTACACTGCACCTATTGCAACAGTATCAAAAATGTAAATGTTCTTCAATAGTGCCAAGTGATTGTGGCCACAAACGACAACTGGAAAATAAAAATGGAATTAAAACCGCATCGACTGCCAAGCTTTTTAGATATTACGAACTCAACATATTAGCATATGCAATAGATCCCTATTCCTCTTTAATATAGATATAAGTATGCATCAGCACTGCTCCTGTCTTTCGATGCATGGCAATAAATTTGCTTGCTATTATGATATATACATACATATACACACATAGATAGATATACATGTGTTTTTAATATAAATATTCTTCTACAGGTCACTGTCCAAGGACTTCTTTTAATCCACCTCCATCCCTGCTCCTGGATCCAGGTCGCCGCAGTAACAGGAACAAGTCTGCGTACCGGGAGACATGCTCATTGCCTCAGGAGTCTTCTGCTCCTCTTTCCGTAGAGAGCACAGCTGCCACTCTCCTACCAGAAGAATACAATGACAACGACATGGATTGTAAGTTACAACAGGAAATATAATTACTTATGCATAATATAGCTTTACTAGACATGCTTTTTTCTTCAGATTTTTGTCCCTTCATTCAATAAAATGTACTTTCGTTTTCTGAATTTTGAAATGACAAGCAGTCTTTCCTTTTCGCTGTGGATTATCCTTTCTGAAGGACATTCTGGTTTTAAAGGGAAATTATGATTAAAATAAATTAAAACGAAGTTCTGGAATATTACTATATGATGCAGTTGGAAGCTCTGAAATTATGAAATTCGCTTAAATTTTGTATCAAATAAAAGTACGCCGAAATAAAAATACACTTTTTCACATTATCAAAATTGATACTGTCAAAGGTGTTTAAATGGCAAAGCAAAAAGGTATAACTTTTACAGGTGATAATATAGTAAAATAAAAATAAGAAAACGTCAAAAGTCAATATCTACTCAGGCATTTAGCGCTCCATAAGCTCATCACCTCGAAGGCTCCATACAACGCCGAGCATCGTTGCATCCTCCCGATCAGCGGGCAATCCGGGTTGTTTCAGATGCTACTATAAAGCACATGGTTCTCTAGACTCAGGACGTTTATCTACTACTTTAAATACAAAATGATAAGGATAGTTAGTAGCTAGCTGTCCATCCCATTTAAGTTTCAAGTCTGTATGAATATCATTTTCTGTAAACCGATTTATGTTCAGCTATTGGCTATAGTGATTTATCATTTGACACCTCTTTCCTGGTACATCGGTTCCTTCCATATCCATACTATCGGTTCCATATTTATATGAACCTGTTTCCTCTCTGCATCGCAGCAAACATGAATCCAATTGAAACAAATAATTTTGACGGAAATGACTCTCGCGAGTCCCTTCAGAGTCGGTGCAATGTAATTTTAGTCAGTATCTCAACAGAGAGCTTTGGGAGTTAATAATATGATCACTCAGTTAGAGTAACAGTGAAAAAGGACAAGTTTGTTTAAGCGAAACAGATAGCAGTGACCACCACATCAAAGGCGGGTTGTGGGCTTCTTACAAAAAATTAAATGTAAAAGTAGAAAAGTAAATTATTACTCCAGCATCGCATTATCATTTACTAATGGAGTTATGATGATTATAAAAACATAACTATTACGGTTTTTATTCTTGATATTTATTTATCCTTTATTTCGTGAAATTATGACGGAGCTTGAAAGCGATAGCCAATTTTAAATTCAGTAAAAGAACAATGAACATTCTGATAATTCTTAAGAGCAATATTTACTTATTCCAGTTCTCATTTCTCAAACATAATTGCTCATTTGATACATCGATATGCCATTAATTATTTTCTGAAACTTTAAAATTGATTTTTGAAGATATATAATCTTTCAGAGATACATAAAATTTAAATTTCTATCAACTAAGAATCCTTTCTGGGAAGGAAAATAAGTAAAAATTTACGTAGCATTAACATAATGCTTCCCTTTCGAAAGAGTTTCTAAGAAATCTGTCTGGCATAAAATGTTTGCCTTTGAATCATATAATCTTAACTTTCAGTTATTAGTGTTTCTTCCTCGTTTTGCAATTCCATTTTTGATTATGTTGACAAAATTTCTCATTTGGGCTTCAGGTGTTTTGCAACTGAATATTAATTTGAGATATTAGCTTCAAGGAATGCTATAGTTTAGACAAATGCACAAAATTGTGCATCCTTAACTAAAAGTAGAACAGAGAGTTTTAAAGCACTTATTTTCCAAAAGGAAAAATTTTATACATCACATTGACGTAATGTTTTAACAGAAGTTTTGTTTTAGAATACTAAAATCTGTCTTCATGATTAAGAGATTTCCTGGAAATTAGGAAAAAAAAATTCTTTTATGAACAGAGATTCGTTAATAAAATATCAGATCAGTTTTCATATATTACACATTAAGGTTTAAAAACCATATGGAATTTGGAAGGTTTTGTTCATTGTTATAAATTACAAAAAACATTCATTGATATCTCGAAGTGACAGTAATTTTGCTTTGATTACAAACTAAATAATAAAAGAAAGTTACTTTTTGTTTTAATGGTAGGCACAAAGAAAAATACTAATTTATAAGGGCTGCAATCAAATTCCGCTTTAGGGTAGGTAAGTTACGCATGAAGAATTATCTTATTAAACTCAGAGATTAATTCCGCTCCTTTATCGTACTCACAATAAAATCAAACAAAAAAGAATTTATTTCCTAAAAAAAAGAAAGAAAGAAAGAAATGAAAATAGAAATGCGAATAAATACATGTAATTAGAACTTAGAACATTTCTGCGATATTTGAAGTAATTGAATTCTTATTAAGAAATGGAAACGTTTTAGCACTAAAACACTTAACAAATATTCCAGAAAGGAAATAACATAGTTTCATACAACTGGATCATTCATCGTCTTTAAAAAACAGTTTCTACCACATGTAAAAGAAAAACTTCACAAAGATTAAAAGAGATACGATACAAAACCACTCAAAAACTATTAATGTCCATGCAGTGACTGAACTTGAGTCCCATGTTGGGGACCTTACCACAAGAATTACAGAGGCGAACGTCCTTGATGTAGAACATCTTTAAATAATGGCATTAACTCATTAAAAGGAGGCATTAACTCCTTTTAATGAGTCCCTTTAAAGAAAAAATATTATTTCTAACTCTCTAGTACGTACGTAGAAAATGTACTTCTTCGTCTAGTTTTAATGATTTATTTTTCAAGCAAGATATAAACGGTGAAAGTAATTTAATTTTCTAGAAATGAAATTCCCTCAAATTAGAGAAGCGATAAAGATAGTTTCTTTTGTGGGCTTCATACTCAGGAAGTAACGTATAGCCTTATGCTGGAAAGTACTCTGAATGAGACTAAATATGATGCATCGAGATCTTTTATAAACGAGGTGAGAAAGGCACAAATTCCCAGAAGACTAGCACGCTTCTGAGAATTTGTTTATTTGAGATTATGGCAAAGTCTTGAGGGCTATCTGCCTAAGGAGAGAAATGCCTTCGTGGAGGACTTTCTTAGGGAAATTGGCTCGTTTACACGTTACACATGAAAAAAACCACGAAAACACCCGTGCAGCCAGCCCGTTTGCGGGATTCGAACCTCGGTCTGAGAATTTGTATAAGGCACTGAGCTGTAGCATATCACACGCACCGAAATTTTATGAGCTGCGGGTCACATGAATGAAGAGAATTTATTGCTGTGATTAATCTCCTAATCTGGACACAGATAAGATCCACTTATTTATTTTATTATAGAGATAGATGCTTACGCAGTTGCATTGCAGGGTATTGGGCACATATTATACACTAATGTACAAAATTAAGAGAATTTACAAATTATTTCTGTATTTACAGAACGTATTGAGACAAAGTTAATAATTACGCAGCCGAAGTATCATGTAATTATTCAGAGTGAAATACGTAAGAGTACACGTGCAGGTCTGTGGGGCTGTGATTGTGAAGACGATATAAGCGCACGCGGAGTTTTCGGCGATGTATGTGCTCGCACTCCTTCACGACATTCACCAAGTTTCTCGCAAGTGTTGGATAAATTTTATAAGGTATCAAGGAAGAGAATTGTAGGTAAATTGGATGCAGTCCATTCACAAGCACAATTGATTACAGAGATCAGTGTAATTCCAGTATCGTCTGCAATTTGACGGAACACTTTCTGAACCCTCGATCCATATACAGAAAACCTGGAAACGTTCGCCCTAGATTCACAACGCCGAATGAGGATCGTTATTTGGTTTCAGTGCGGCGACACAGAACTGCTAAAGCTGCATACTGCCACTAAAATCCGAGATTCGTGATTTACAATTCCCCGCAGGTTTCATTATATAGGGCTGTATTACAGAAGACCTCCAATCTTTCCGTACCGCTCATTGTGTATAAAAGGCAGAGCATTAACAGTATATAAGCAATATGCGTCTTAGACACGCTTCAGTAGAATACCATGCTTTTTGCAGATGAGTCGAGATGCAGCCTGGACACTGATTCTACGGCGTACCTATAACTGGAGAGAATCTGGAACACTATGCCACCCTTCCCTCATCAGGGAAAAGGGATGCTTTAATTGAGCCCTTAACCCTATACAGCATGTTTGGAATGCTCTTGGAAGGGCAATTTCTTCTCGCCATTTCTCTGCGAGAACCATAACGGAGTTGAAAACTGCTTTGATGCTAGAGTGATATCGTTTGCCACAGTGTCTCCTCAACTGTTTCCTGTCTATATGACGGGGCGCTAGTGACCTGCCTGGTTGTGAGTGGAGATCATACCCCCTTTTCATTTCTATATCATAGCATGCATTTTGGACATTTCTGCACTTATGAGCTTGACTTGCAATCATACATTCATAAAATGGCTTTTGAATGTACGTCCATTTCTCTGTTATAAATGTACATTACTGGTCATTAAAATTGCAACGCCATGAAGAAAAGCAAATACAAAAATTATATTTATTGAAATTAAGCAGTATGGCATGAAGACAATATGATTAAACTTTTAGGCAGTTTGGAGGTTTACAGGGGTGCGAAATTAGTAGAAACAGCTGCCATTCCTGGCGGCTAAAACGACCCTTACCCGTTAGGCATAGCGTCAAACTGGGCTTAGATGTCAGAAATGGACAACACATTCCATGTTGCTTCATGTCTATGCCCCACTTCATCAACCGTATTAGCTAGAGAGGAGTGGCGGCACAGTCTCTCAGCAAACCATGAAGGCCATGTTTTCAATGGCGGACAAATCTGGAGACCAGGCAGGCCAGGGTAGCAATCGAATACCATGTCTATCGAGGAAGGTCAGAACACTATGTGCAACATGTGTTCTTGCATTATCTTGTTGGTAGTGGGCATCTGGGAACCTTATGGGAACATCTGGGAACATCTGGGAAGTTAGGACAGAACAACTGAACGTATATGTACCCATCTGCGTTTAAATTGCCGTCGATCTGAACTAGAGATGTGCGTGTCATATACCCAATGAATACCCAAATCATCACAC